ATTTGACTCCTACAGGAAAGCATCTATTATCAATTGCTGAAATTAGTCATAATCAATTACAGTTTTACTAGTTTTTACCAGTTTAACAGATCATAATTATTATAGATCAGAGGTGGGTAGAGTATCCAAAATCTATACTCAAGTAAAAGTACAAGTACTTAAGTAAAAAATAAAAGTAAAAAAGTAAAAGTAAAAGTATCTGATGAAAAAATTACTCAGGTAAATAGTTACTAGGTTCTTTTCATTATATATAACACCATTTTTATGTTATTTTAATGTTTTTATGTTAAAAATAATGTTTAAATGTTAGATTTTTTTAATGGTTAATAGTGTGAATGACTTACAACATAGGTGCGCACGCTGTAATCGAAAGCGGGAGACACACTTCTATGGCAACCTCTCGCGACACAACCTCCCCAATGTGGCACCCCGCAATATTTGCAAACAAGTCATATGAATCATATTTATTATTATTTGACAGTGACTGAGGAACACCGCCAAATGTAGCAAAGTAAGAGTAATGATTTTTCTTATAATTTACTTGAATAAAAATAGACATATTTAAATGTATTCAAAACGTACATGTTACCCAACAATTTTACTCAAGTAAATGCAACGAAGGAAATGTAATTCGTTACTACTCACCTCTGTTATAGATGCTAATTTAATAGATAATTAGATCAGTAATATTATATTTATATAATGCCAGCCTATGGTCTTAATTGGCTGAGAACTGCTTTATTTTGGTAGTTGGTTAATGTTGTGAACATCATGCGGAAGTCGTATTTTTGGTCTACACTAGAGATGCCCAAACTAGGGCCCACGGCCCAAAGTTGGCCAATGGTAAACTTTGATTTGGCCTGCCATCCCATCTGAGAAGAAAAGGAGAGTGAGGGGGATGGTTTACAGACTGTCATTCCTTTTATTTGTTTATTTATTTTTTTACCTTTTTTAGAAGATAAAAAATGACAGAAGGGGGAAAAAAATTAAAACAAATAAAAAAGCGATTGTCCAACACAATCTCACGGCAATTCGTAACTTTTTCATTTAGTGGCTAATTCGTACAAATTCGTATGATCTAATTTGTACATTTTAGTACGATTTGCGTATCCCCCAATGACGGTTGGGTTTAGGGGTGGGGTTAGGTGCCATGCCTCCTTTTTAAAATCGTACATTTTCTTACGACTGAACTCGTACAAATTCGTACGAATTAGCCACTAAATTGCCAAAACGTAAAATACTTACATTTTCTCGTGAGATCAGGCTGGATTGTCATATGGGTTACAAAGTCATGATGCATTTAAAGTACATTATTACAAATTGTTTACAATGACATACTCAGTCCATTTTTGACAGGACTTGTTGCACTTTTTTTAATCAAATTTTTTGTTAAAAGTCAGTCTCTCCATACGGTGTATTTCCTTTACAATCCCTATTCATTGGCTCTTGTTGGAGGATCAGCCTGAAACCTTTTTCGAGTTATGGCTTTTTCTTTACTTTTTTTATTATTAAAGTAATCTCTAACTAGCAAGTATTTGTAAAAATCCTGCTTAAATAGGCCAAATGTATCTGATAAGGTCTGATAACTCATGAAATATCCATTAGAGGTGACTGAACTGAATGATGTGATTCCTCTCCAAACCCACTGGCGACTTCAATGTAAAATAGTTTGTTATATTTATCTTCAGCCCACCACTCTCAATAATACTTGGTTTTTGGCCCTTCACATTAAAAAGTTTTGGCATCCCTGGTCTACATAAAGCATTTACCATAGTGCAAATTTTGCAAGAAGATTTTCATTTTTTTCAGCCATGACTAATCTAAATGCCTCTAGTATTTGCTTTCATGAGAATAACAGAAGCATGTCTGGTTGGTTTATAATTCTAAGCACTAAATAAATCTAATGCATTTCTAATGCGCAGATCTAAATTTCACTAACAAAAGATTCATTCATTCATTTTTTTTCAGCTTAGTCCCTTTATTAATCTGGGGTCGCCACAGTGGAATGAACCGCCAACTTATGCATATGTTTTATGCAGCGGATGCCTTTTCAGCCACACACACTCTTATCTACACTACGGCCAATTTTGCTTATTCAATTCACCTATAGTTCATTACCTATATCGCAAGCACCCAGAGGAAACCCACGGTTCGAACAAGCAACATTCTTGCTGTGAGGAGATTGTGCAACCCACTGCACTACTGTGACGCCTATTATAACAAAATATATATTTTTTTCAAATAAAAATGTATTAGTTCATCCTTTCTGTGCTATAATTTAGATATATGACAATCAATCTCTCAAATTTAATACAAAACAAACTATTTTGTGTTCCAAAGATGAATGGCTGTCTTAAGGCTCATAAACACCAGGACATTTTTTGCGCTGTCTTATCCTCAGTGCTTTCGGAAAAGTTTTTCAGTATTTACAACCAAGCAATTTTCACTAGCGTTGAGCAAAATGAACAGACGTTAGATTGCTCTTCTTAACGAATAACCCCAATGCACAAGTTAGTGCTGCGCAATTTTTCGCTTCTGACACTCACTTGTTACACAAGTATAGAGACTGTGATGCAGCATGTAAAAAGAGACTGAGGGAGTTTTCTTTTTATGCTTTTACTCTAGCGTTTAATGTGAATGCTAACATTGGCGGCCTTTGTTTAGTTATGATGTGTTCAACGTCAGCCTTTACAGTGTTATTTTTCTTAATTTTTAACCACTTAAAGGAATAGTTCACACAAAAGCTTGAATTTAGTCACTATGAACTCACCCTGAAGTGGTTAGAAAGCACATCTTAAATTTTGGGTGAACTGTGCCTTTAAGATATACTATTAAAATAATCAAACACTATTTTATTATGTAGACTTATACATGTAAATGAAAACTTTGTTGAAACTAGATTATCTTCAAAACAATTTGAAACCAACATACACATTAGCATTATTCTAAGAAATTGTGCACTTATAAGTTTAAGTGCCAGGTGACTACATTGTACGTATTAGGAAACACCCTCCTGGGCGTGTGCAGAATGACAAGGGTGGCACGATAAATCTGTGCCCAATGCACAGTCATCACACACACGCCATAAAGACAACAACGCGTCTTCACAGAATCATGATTTACAGTCCCATCCAGATGCGCAACAGCGATAAACCACCCCAACGCTAGAAAATAAGAAAATATACTGCCTCTATTTCCTGTCTCAGAATTACCAGCAGCAAAGACAGTGACCCTAAACTTTGAGGATCTAGCAAACAAAGTTGATAAACATGTACAGTATGTAGCAGCATAAATTCCTATACTGCCCAGACTATATGTTGACCTGCCCCTCCACTACTGTAGACCAATAAAACAACAGCAGAGGGTAAAAATAAAGCGAGAGGCATGTCGCACAGCTGTGAGATACTTTAAGATTTGTGTGCTGTCAGTCTGCTTAAATCTCAACAGCTGAGATGACAAGAGGTTGTGGATTTTTTTTAGCTCTCTGCAGTTTGCCTGGTCTGTTAATCATATGGGTTGCGTTCAAGACACATTTGCTTGCGATGCAGCCATAAAACAGATATTCTCACAAAAAAAAAAAAAAAAAAAATCACCATTACAGGTCTGACAAACCATCTATGTTTGTATGGCAAGCTGTTTTTAACACTTAATATTGTATATACAGAATATGGGGTGATTCAAAAGGAATACCACAACTTACGGGTTGATGTCACTCGAGTGTCTGGAGGGGTCATATTGAACATCTATCAACTTGTTTTCTACTGGAAAAAAAACTATTAAGTGCTCTTCACATTGCTAAATTACCCAAGGTTCCATCATGTTTCTTTGATTAAATACAGATTTTCTAAATTGTGGTACTCTTTTTGAATCACCCATATACTAAGTGTATTAGATACTTCTGTATCAGACCATGTATTAGTGTTAATATTTATTAGATACTTGTACTTAAGGCTGGGCGATAAAATCGGTATAGATATTTATTGACTATTTAAAACTATTTAGCTTAGTAAATGTACTTTTGTATAAATCCTAATAATCCTGAATGTTCAATAATTATTTATATGGAATGATATGAAACATGATATATCATGATCATTGTTTTGCAATATTGCCCAGCCCTACTTGTACTTATTCAATAAATACTCAATTTTAGTAACAGATAGTTAGATTAGTTACTCTTATGGTCCTTGCATGTTTTTAAAAGTCAAATTTAAGTATTTTCAAGCACTTACCAGATGATATTTCAAACTTTCCAGCACTTTACAAGTGTGTTGAAATTACATATTTACATACATATACATACCTCATCACATTATATCTGATGCTATTTGTTATATTACTCTACAGTATAGTATAAGGAAAAATCTCATTTTTGCCCAACATTGAATTCCTGTATTTTACTGTCTTAAATGTAATTTACTCACATCTTGTGTGATCTTTCATTCTAAATTAATATTTATTTTAATTCCATGCATTGTTCATTCACAAAGCAGTGATCTCCGTAAATTTTGTCTTCACCTACTGCTTAAGCAAAGAGCACAGATGAAGAATGGCTGATCATGCTACAGGTACATATGCAGACTCCAGAGTTTTCACTTTATGTGAAAGCAAAAAGATTTCCTTAACTAAGCAGTTAATTATTATCATCTGTTTACCAACATAATTACATTTTCAGTTTAAAGCACTTCACCCAAAAACCAAACATTTTTCAAACCTTTTAAGCATTTTCAAGGACTTACAACAACTGTACAAGCTCTGTACTATTCAGTATTAAATATGCACTAGTAATGAATAAATATTACCAAATATCTCATGAAGAAGTACTAGTATCCTATACTATTAGTAACCAATGATTAAGTATGAAAAAGATTCCAGTATCTAAAAAAAATAAGTAGTAGAATTAAGACAGATACTAGTTGATTTAATAATAAAACGGCTTGCCATACAATGTCAGTCAAGCAAATGAAACACACTAAACTTCAATCTTAAGAGGTACTTACCTTTTCCTTTCGCCGCTAGGTTTCTGAGAAGAGCTTAAAAGTTGTTCACCTTCACGTTAATAGTCTCTTTTAACAACAGGCCTCAGTAAAACCTCCCGGTCCTTCCTTAACTGGAAAATGTGCAGCACGTTTGACAGTAGAGAGCTGGACAAATGAGATGAGCAAGTGAAAGACAAATGTTTGGAGCTAATTGTTGCGCCACAGAGCGTGCTTTTTTACTCATTCACTCCACTAAAACCATTAAAAAAAGAGCTGATGGAGTGGAGGAACAAGCAATGAGGAAAGACAGAGAGAAAGAGGCTGAAAGGAGAACATACAGTGCTGAGAGGTGGCAAATCTGCTTCCTCACACTCAAATTGGCTCCCAGTTTCCTCCACCCACTTAACTCTCTCCCTCGTCCCCCATCATGAGTCATCAATCCCTCTGCCAATCACAGTTCGGCAGTCCAGATGATTAAAATCACCTCTTAGCTGAAAAAAGGACACAATCTGATCAAAAGACCAAAAGTGCAATGCATTTTTTAGATGTCTTACACAATCTTCTGAAACTCGCCAATCTGTACCGGAAGCAAGCAACGTGTTACCCGAAAAGAGAGAGGAAAAAAAAGGGGGGGGGGGTTAAGGTGGCCGGGGGGTGGGTGTTGGGGTATGGGGGGATGTGGGTGTTTAGGAGTTGGGTTTGGTGGTTGGTTTAAGCATCAACACAATGAAACTGTAATACAGTTTTATGTAATTTTTTTCTGATTATTTTTTTCTGAATGTGTCCTGAGCAAGTGCTTTTCTAAACACCACAAAATTATTAATAATTTATTTTAATTATAAATAATAAAAATAACAAATTCTTTTACATGATATACATAAAGATTCATTCAGTGTAATGTAATAGTTTATTTACAAAAAAAATCTTTAAGTCAAATTTGGAACACAGATTATTTGATGAAATTTTAAAAATCTGTATCATTTAAGGATCATGATGTATTCCCAAAATACTACTTAATAGTCGTTTTGAACCTTTGCCATGATGTGAAATCCCTAGAATTCAAGAATATTTAAATCATTTAAAATATAACAAATCCATTATGCATAATTAATTATTCTAGCCGGACTTCTAGCATTACATCATCCACATAGACTGATTGTGCACACACCTGAACTGAATCACGGTAATGACCCACGCCACCTATATAAGCCACACTCTAACCACTGTTCAGTGGAGATATATCCAGCTGCAGGCCCGCAGAACCACACACGTTTGAGGCACACACAATCTAGGACACACAATCTAGGCAAACCATATATGGTAACTAACTCTTAGCATTATCGCCATCTATTGAATTTCACATATATGGTTTCCCATTTCAGTCATTATTATTATTATATCGTAACGATCATTTTAACATCTCTGCAGTTTTTGAACTTAAATTATGTAAATAAAAATAATTGGTTAAAGAAACTTATGACTTTATTCATGTGTCCATATACACAAAGAAAACATAATAGACCGTCTAATTGTTGGATTAAGTGTAATAAACTAATTCAAGCTCTTAATATTATTATACTTGGTATAAAAAGCAAACAATAATATGTCACTTTAAAATAAATTAGCCTACTATTGTTAACCATTTAAACAATATATATATATAGTTATAAACTGATTATCTTAACTGATTATAATTAAAAGTTTATATATAAACTACTATCTTTTACTAAACTGTCACTGTTAAAGGTGTTATATATATATATATATATATATATATATATATATATATATATATATATATATATATATGTATGTTTATGTATATAAATGTATATATATGTATGTGTGTATGTGTGTGTGTGTGTATATATATATATATATATATATATATATATATATATATATATATATATATATTTTTTTTTTATTAATAGTTAATTTGTTCCTATTTGTTTCCTATTACTGTAGTATTAAATTACTACAGTTTTAAATGTGGGAAATCAATAATTAAAAGGTTATTAGAAAATTAAGCTAATATATTAGTTTATAAACACTATTAAATCGCTTGAGTAAAATATTAATATAGTGTTATACATTTGTTACATGTAAAAAGATTTTTATTACATATAATGTATTATTGCCTATATTAACTTGCTATTCCTTCATCATAAATTAATCCATTATATAAATTAAATCTGTCCAAATGAGATCATTCAGCAAGGCCAGCAAACGAGTATCTGCCATATTATTGTCAGATAATAATGACTGATCAGCTATAATGACTGATTAAAAACTGTTCACTCTATTATATTGAATGGTGATCGGAAACAATGCTCCCCATTCGGCTGTCTCAATCGCAATATTTGTGAAATAAAGTAAACACTATTGTTTATTGTGTACAATATTTATTAACCATATATATCAAAATATATCGATGACGATGTCCAAAAAGACGTTATAACTTTAACATCCGTCGTAACCATATATGGTTTGCCTAGATTGTGTGTCCTAGATTGTGTGTGCCTAAAACGTGTGTGGTTCTGCGGGCCTGCAGCTGGATATTATTGGTTCAGTGTGAAGTCTTGTTTAGCCCCGGCCAGCATTACTGAGCGTTCTTTCCTGCCTGATCTCCTGTGCATAACCCCGGACTGTTTCTGACTCTGAGTTGCCTTCTGCCTGCCCACGACCCTTGCTTGTTACACGGACGCTGAACCACGCTGCCTGCCCTCGACCCACGCCTGTCTTAAGGATTCTGAACCACGCCGCCTGCCACTGATCTATGCCTGGTAACTCACTCTGTGTCTGTCAGCCGCCAGCCCCACGACCTTATTGATTACTGTTGATGTGTGTTCGCACTTTAGTGCGTGTTGGATGTTTGTGTTTGACTGTGTCTAATAAATACTGCAAAATGGATCCCTCCGTGTCAGTCTCCACGTTACAACAGTCACATATTATTCTTTTTTTTTTTTTAGACTTGTTTTGTTTTTAAAATAGTAATTTAGTTATGGCAGAAAATATTTTATTTTGCAAAAAAAAAGTGCAGCATTTAAGAAAAAAAAATGAAATGGCTCTTTAACCTTAAATTTGTTTCAAATCAGTTTGTTAATCGTGAATTGTGAAATTAGTCTCGTGAATCGTATCGAATCATGAGTCAGGTGAATTTTTAGATCCCTATGAGTGACAATCATGTTTATGACAGATTTATGACAAGTTATGTTGTCTTGGTAATATCAAGTTGTCATGACTAAGACATCTCCAACAATGTCATCTTTGCATTTAAAATGACATAACTATGCTAATGACAATGACAGTTGTCATAAGCATGCATAAAATCCGGTTCATATGATTATAAAGGTGTTGTGACAGTCTTAGGAACCCCCTTCAAATAAAGTGTTACCATATAGTTTAATAAGTACAAGTTAGAATAAATATGTTGTTTAATTTTTACTCCATGACAAATGAATGATTTTTTCACCTGTATTTTGACATTTTATTTTACTTTACACTTTACTTGCATTTATTTTGTCTCTTTAAATATAAAATCATTTTTGTAACTTAAAAAGTTTTAAACTAAAACTGAAATCTTAAATTAAACTAATATAATTTTAAGAAAGATTAAGTGAAGCTAATGTCACAGCCTCTGGTAATACAAGTATAATCACTTGAGAAATGAATAACTGAAACCTAATAATTATAAATAAATCTGACAATCCACAGCAGTGTAACCTCTGTAAACTCAATTAAGATACTTTTTAATGTGCTGATTAAGTGATAAGTAATATAAAGTTAATTAATAGTAATGTTTAATTATCAAAATATATATTTTTACATAAATTAAAAACGCCAAAATGTTTATACAGCATTAAGGAGGAATTCGATAAAAAATATGAATTGATTAAATGTTTATACTGTCACATTTAACCAATCTATCATTAAAATGATAAATTGGTTTAATGTGACAGTAAAAACATTAATAACTTTGCCAACCCCAATCACAGCAGTATATTACACAGATTTTAAGTAACATTGTATCACATTCAGTCCAGAGACTTGAGACAAATTGCCATTCTCCACATTCCCATACACTCCCCATTTCTGCATCCCATCAAGCTTGCTCTTGCCACAATTTATAAATATATATGCACATAATTTGCCCCTATAAGCAACATTCTAGTCTGACTTTATCTCTAAATGTTAGAAGAATGAGTCTATGCCAAGACTTGGAGCGGTAAAAATTCCCGGCTGCTTGCACGACTCTTTAATGTAATTATATGTTAGCTCGGCACCAGGCAACCTGCTCTGAATGGAAGCTTTTTATGTGGAGTTTAAGTGTGGTCGGTCATATGATGCGAGACGGAGCACCTCAATAATCGCCTGTTGTCTCCTGACTCACATATTTGCACAAATTTGCATTCTGCTTGTTACTAGGTGTACTTCATGCTCAGAATGGGTTTTGTGTATCGCATGTGTCAGGAAAACCACCAAAGAGGCATTTACAAGGGCTAGTTCACACAATTTTTTTTAAACTGATGTTAATTTATGCCACGTTCACATGAGTGAGTTTCTGTTTAAAAAAAAAACTTCTTTTCATATTAGTGCATTTTAGCATTGATGGACCAAAATAAGGCTTTGGAAAACATAACCCTCCCTGATAGAGTCTTCTGTGCATCCTTCCATAATAACTTTACATAACACGTTTTTTTTTTTTTTTGGTATTTTAGTGACACATGCCTAGAGTAAAGAAAACATGTAACTGCAGAAAGTGCATCAAATATGTTTACTTTTTAAATGACACATTTGATGAAGTACAAACAATCTTTTTTTTCTTAAACCAAATTAGAGTGGTACAAATTGAATTTGTCCTTATAATGTCATTAAACGTCATTAAATATTAATTTACAGAAATTATTCCTGAGCTCTGACACTTCAGATGAGAAATGTTAACGACAAATTCAGTTTGTTTTACTGACAAAAATAATCAGAAAAATATTCCTGGCACAATTATATTGGCATCTTGACATTCATGTTTATGACAGATTTATGACAACTTAGGAGTGGGAGAAGAAAATGTATTCATTGATGCATCACATTTTATTCAATAATGTTTCAGATATGATTCTCAAAAGTTCAGTATTGATTCTGTCTTCAAATTGAATTCAAGGGGTGCTGGCCTGCGTTATCACAAGCAAGAAACGAAAGTAATAATAAATGTTAGCAGACGTACATATGCTGTCGATTTTACTTTATATCAACAAAGGCTTATTCACCCCCTATAAACATTTCTTTGCGAATTATGTAGCCAGAAGTACGTATGGCTGCATTTAATTATTATGACCGCTTTCCACCTCTCTAAGGACATCTTTCCGGCT